GCGAATGTTTCGGTCACAAACCTCTGCAACCAAAGGCTCTCCTATTCTTTGTATTGAAGGGATCCAGCTTGCATGCATAAGTCTGTGGTAAAGACTGCTGCACCCAAAAAAGAACAGGAAATACAGCACAAGACGATTCGGTCGTGGTAAAAATGAAAGAAAACATTTTTTAATTACACTTAAATGCACATTTTACACAGCACATATAATCTGTATGATGTTTAGATCGTTTAGTTTATTTTGCATATTTGGTTTTATATTTGGGTTTCCCATCTTCTTCTTCCTCTTCCTGTGAGACTGGTGGGGCAGCGTCCTAGTGCCCCGCCATTGGTTTCAGATCAGTTGCTCAGCTAGAGGCCTAAGTTGTTTCTAAATGCCAAGAAACCTCGCCTTAATGTCTTGGTCCCGCCCCGGTTGCCTAGGTGATACGTCATCAGGAGCTGACAAGATGTGTTCCAATGTTCATGTTCTACCAGGCGTGTGTTCTCCGTTTGTTAGCCGTGTAGCTAGCTGAGCAAGGATACACGGGAGGTGTCTTGTGGCCAAGCCTTGGTCAAAAATGACCCAGAATACATCGCAGTATTTTCAAAAGGATGGCGTATCAAAAGCCGGCAGCTACTTTGGGGGCAAATTTCAAGTTTAAAAGTAAGTCAACTAATTTAAAATATATTTTTTTAGATCCTAAGAAGTTATCTATGGTTGGTTAGTTCCTTGGTAGTTGCAGCTTTGGTGGCTAGCTGCTTGTAACTCGCTTATTTATTTAATTTAACAAATATATACACAATTTAAAAAGTAAAAAGCTCATTATTTATTTATATTGAAACTAATACGTATAAAATATAACGTTATCTCCCAAGACAGTAACGTGACTGCCGTGGAAGTCGTGGTCACGTGATGCAAGCCTGTTCCATTTAACCATTTTCTTTGACCAAGGAAGGACAGTGTCCTTGAAAGAAAGGCGCCTGGCCTCACAAGACATCGCCTCGCAAGGCCAGGCGCCTTGGCATTGAGAAACACTCTTTGTTTCCAGCTGCAATCGCAGAAGTGGAGAGGAGCTTAGGTGCAATACATGTTTCCACCTGAGGATGGTGACCTCTGGGAAAAAAACTCACTAGCATTTTAAAAGCGTTTTTCCTCCTGAGTGACGGCTCAGGGGTTAGGAGTAGGGTGTTCGCCCTGTAAGCTCTGGCTACATTGTAGCTCATCACCATCAGTAGCTATGTTTACATGGGAACAAATAATCATAATGAGTGCTCTAGCAGATCAAAAATTCTTCATGTAAACATGTCAGTTGGAATATTCTGATCCGATATGGCCCGAGGTGTGGTTTAGTCCAATCGTCATTCCGACTGATATCCATGAACACACTCATTTGGATTCTTGCAGTAAAATAACACCCAAGGCACATGTGCAACTTCAGCTTGATGTTTTTCTGCCTTTGCATCCGCTCAGGACAAGTCTGAGGAGCTGGGGGACGGTGTGAGCGGGGGATCATTTCTACGTTATCACTCGCCATACATTATCCTGCTCTCGTCTCCTGTGGAGGAGGAGCAGCAGCAGAGCATCTAGCTTAGTTAAAGTGATCAGTAAAAACAAAAGCATACAGGTGAAAATGCGAAGAAGATCCATAACGAAGGAAAAGCGTAAGTCAACGGACAAAGCTGGAGAATAAGAAAATAAAATGCGGGGGGAAAGATGAGCAGACAAGATGGTGTATGTTTACAGTTTTCTTCTGGGAAAGACAACTCTACGCATGCTGAACATATTCAACCTGACTGAATGCTTGGTGTATGTTTACTCATGGCATTATTTCAGTTAGTGTCCATGTAAACAAGATTTAGGATTTTTGATCAACCAAGATTTGAATGGGATAGGGGAAATTTGGAGCATGTAAACATAGCTAGTGTGTGAATGGATGAATGATTCACTGTAGTGCAAAGCGTTTTGGAGTGCTCTGGCTCTGAATGGCGTCATATGAGTGCAGGTCATTTACATCATCATTCATCATTTATTTAAAATCTTTTCCTGTTAAACCTGATTATTTGACATTAAAGAACAGGAGCATTAAATTTGATTTTTATGAAACCATGAGCTTCATGTGATGGCTCCCAGGGATGGCCTCTTTGATCAGCCCTTTCTTGTTGATCTGAGGGGCGTTGCTGACATGGAGGCAGAGCCACCTCGCCTCCTTCCTGAATAAATACTATCAGTGTTATCTGTTATTAGTTCCCAGAGTTGATGCATGCAAGCACTGGGCACCAGACAGCCGGATCAACAGACTACAGTGCTGAGAGACCTATTGATGGCCATGCTAGATGAGAGATAAATCGCTGCACAAGAACACATTCATTACAACGGTCCAGCAACCTGCCAACCAAACTGCAGCAGACACCACCAGAATCGAACTTCAGCGCCAGTTAAACTCAAGGGCGCCACTTCCTTTTCCATCAGGCGTCACAGTTTGTTGAGAAAAGCAGTCACGGTGCCAGTAACATACTGAAACTCTGTCGCACGTTAAGCGCTGGCAGCTCATGAACCCACCAACCAACATCCCAGGAGAATCACACCCCTCCACACACACACACACACACACACACACACATCCCAGGGGCCCTCTCTAGTGGCCGAGGTATCATGATTACTGAGCTAATGCACAATTTTTAGAAGGAAAACAAAGAAATCTGCGTGTTATGAGGGAAGCAGGAAGCTGTGAAGGCACGAGCATCGCCCTGGTCCTGCGCTCCACCCTTCACCAGTTTGGAGTTGGTGTAATCTCTGAGGTACTTTGAACTCAACGCCCTCCACCCACACTGAGGTCAAAGGCTTTCTGTCATCTGAAGTGGATGACATGTTGGGCATGAATTGAATGCAAAACATTCAGATTATTTATTTTAGCCTGGAGGCAGGAAAGCTGAAGTGGAATTATAAATAAAAAACACTAAACTCCCATGGATTGCTCCTGTTTTTCAGTCCTGCCCCTCATGTTTTGCAGGTTGGAGATGTTAACACATGGCACTGTTTTCCATCCGCTCGCCAGGAAATGCATCATAGTTGATTGTGGGGGTGGGGGTGGGCGGGGGGTGCTCTGGTGTGTTTTTTTAACAGGAAAGTGTAAAAATAACCACTAGCCAGTGGTTCCAAAGCCGGGCGAGAGTGGCAGCATTTAGGACTGCTGTGGTGCAAAGATACATAAAAGGTGGACAGGCTGGTGCTTTTGTTTTTGCTAAATGTAACTTTATTTTATTTATTGAAGCGGAACAAAAATCTTTTTCTTGAGAGTGAACCTAGGTGTCAGCGGGGTCGAACACGAACCCTAAGATCTGTCACTCGTGAAACTTGTGGTCCTTTTTATGACGAACACCTTCAGTGAAAAGGCCAGTGAGAGGAAACAAAAGGAAGTGATGGGATTAAGAGCGGTGATCCCTTTTTCCAAGCCTCAGCATCCGCGGAGGAAACTCTAGAAGACACGGACACGGAGATATGAGCACACGACTCAGGAATGGAGGATGTTTGACGTCGTTCCCTGCACCCCCCCGACACACTCCCCCAGCTTTGATTGAGCTGCTTGTGTCACCTCCTGTTATTGTCGAGGGGAGATCTGAACACTTTACTCCATGCTGCCTCCGCTTGATAAAAAAAATGTTAAGATTCCCATCACCGCTCCGGCCCGTAAGAAACGGTGCAGATAAACCAGAGGAGGTTCAGTCGGGCCAGAAGTCAGAGCAGAAGCTGTGATCAGGGGTTTTTTAACGTGGGGGATGTTAAACAATGGGAACTATATTTGATTGAGGTTTCCCGAAGGCATTTCCTGACAGCTTTGAAATTACTAAATTGTGGAGGTTACTAGAACGGCTGTGAGGCTGGAAAGAAATTTGACTCACGTTTTTATTGCAGGCTTTGACATGCCTCGTCAGTTTTTTTTTGTGTGCAGTTCATCCCATCATGGCTGAGTAGCTTCCTCAGAGCAAGGAAGAAGACTTGAATTCACATGTTAAAGCTGAAATAAACGATTTTAAAGCACCCAAATGTTATTTCTCTCACTGAGAGTCCAGTTTTCCTTTAGTATTTATGCATTTGTGTGTTTACACTAACACAGGCTGGTCAGGTGACCTGTATGTTTTCGTTCTGACATATGAAACAGCTCCACACCTTCAAAGGTTACAGACCAATTTTCTTTTTAACATTTTTAAAACTATCAAAAGCATTTCTGCACATTGAAAATAGCATTTTTATTTTTCTTGTGTTCTGATTGGCATCAATTGGAATTAAGTAAAACAGGTGAGAAAACCCCCCTCTGTTCAGAGCTCAGTCGCTCAGATAGTAATAAATTACCCTATTTTACGGGCGTCAGCCGATAAACCTCCTTAGTGCAGCTGATTTGAAGTCAGGCACATCCCCAGTGTTCAAGAACTGATTGTGCTTCAGAAATTTTGTGCATCATCTGACGTTATTTGTGACATTTTAGCATGCAAATATTCATGGTCGGTCATGAAAATCAGGAGCACACATCGACCATCAGCTTACCTTTAAATATCGGTACCTTCATGACAAAACCAAAATCGGGACTTCTACTTCAACTTTTTACAAGTTACACATCAGAATGTGCAGCAAGACTTATGATTTACTCTCAAATCCCATCAGAGTGCACATTCAGGCTTCCACAGACCTAAACTTTCCTGTCTGACTCTAAGGTTTGCAATCAGGGAGTGAGACACAGGTAGTGGTTACCTCATGGTCTTAATGACCCACTTGCAGCAGCTTAAACATTTTGATCTGGCATCTCCACTTCATGTACAGTATTTACATCAAACAGCTTTAAGATTATTATCAAGGTATACCCTTCAAAAGGGTTCTATTTGCAACAGTGCAGCCTGGACTAAACTGCCCAAAGACTTGACCACATAAAGATGCCCCTAAATCCCAGCCGCTCTGGATGCCACACAGGAGCTGTGATTAAAAAAAAAAGAAGTCATTTATCAGATTGTGTCACCGACACTAACCTTCCAGCCCGCAGAGCTGTTGCTGTCTCCTTTATCCTTGAAGTAAGGCACACTCTTGACCATCCATTCGTAAATCTGAGACAGCGTGAGCCTCTTCTCGGGTGAGCTGTCTATGGCTTTGGTGATCAGGTCAGCGTATGACATGTTCCCCCAGGCGTTGCGACGGGACGAGCTGATCTTCCTCTGAGCGGAGCCACCCAAAGGTGGGACCCCTGGAGGAGACACCTGTAACTGAAGGGACAGCTGCGGACCCGGCAGCTGCTGCTGGAGGTGGTGGTGGTGGTGATGGTGGTGGTGAGGGGGCTGTAGATGCACGCAGTTTAGCCCCTGACACTGAAAAGTGCCGCAAGGCGGTTTCTGCTCTGCGTACTCTTCATAGTTCTCCTCCAGCAAGCCGAGGTTGCTGATGAACTCGGCGTTTCCTCCCGGCTCCTGCTGCACCGATGTGGCCGGGGAAGATGTGTTGGAGCCGGCGGGGTCGCTGAGCTCCGGCCGGGGCAGCGGCCAGGTGCAGGAGCGCGGCCGGGAGAGAGGCTCGAAGTCTGGGTCAGTGTCAACAGGCGGTGCTTCGGCCATCTGGGTCACACCGGAGATGTTTTATTTACTTTTTTTAAATATAAACACTAACTTTAAAAAGGAAGAAAAACTAAATCAGCCAAGAACAAAAAAAAAAAACAACTTTAAACTATTTTACATATTGCATTTAAACACAACATGCCAGAAGTAAACCCGCCGAAACGGAAGACGATTTCATTTACACAACAGCGAAGTGTTGCATCTTCTCAGAACTTCACACCTTCCTGCATCAACAACTCTGAAGTCCAACGATCTGTCACGATTTAACTAGCCTGGTAGTGGAGTCTGGTGCTGCCTTCACGGACCGCTCTCAGGGTCGGTCTTCAGGGTTCTACAACTCCATGCTACGTTCATTGTTTGTAGGTGGGTTGAACTCGTCTGGTGAACACGTGTTGTGTGATCCGAGGACAAATAAAAAAATAATAATAATACAACAAAAACTTTAAAATAAATGTAATTCTGCTGTGACGTCACGGGCAATTAAAGTTGTGAGGTTTAGAGGTGTCGGGATGCGTTTATGGGTTTCATGATTTGCTGAAGATTTAAATATTTTACCACAGCTGCAATAAAAATAAGTTTAACAATAAAATAGAATTAAGTTTGTTTATTATGTTAGATCTTACCACAGTGCTTTAATAACATCAGAGACTTGTTGCCAGCTGTAACCCCAAGGGGTGGCCACATCAGTGGAGACCGATGTTCATATTAATGTACTATAAATTAATATTATTTAATTAAACATAAATGTAATACCCAATAAAATATAAAATTATTGAGTAAATAAACGTATAGTATAAAATGTGTGTATGTCTCTGCTGCTCACCATTTTCTAAACAAAAGTTTAAATCTATAGTTTTTGTGAAAAATTGTGTTCTTCAAATTTGAGGTAAGCGTGTTGGAGGCATGTTGTTTTTTTTTAACGAAAAAGAGTAAAGGAGCATCACCAAAGGTTAACTCTCCCAAAGCTACCATGGAGACCAATAGTGTGCCACCCCTAACATTTCTCTAGCCCCATCTGCTCACCCCTGTGAAAATTTTCTGGAAGCGCCACTGCTTGTGGCCAAGTGCGATGCTTCCATGACGTTTGAAAATCCCCACATTTGATCAGACACAAACACAACAGCATAGTAGGTTGTGTTTAAAGTGACAGTGTGTATTTGTGCTGGCGATATGGGGGCAGTAGTTACCTAAATCGTTGCAAGCAAGCAGTATTTTTCTGTTGGAGTAAAGCCTGGTTTATGCTTCTCCATCAGCTCCGCAAGGGACAGACACGCGCGGATTGACGGAAGCGTTTTGCTCTCATACTTCTCCGTCTCCTGGAGTGTTGCAAAGCCATTGCCCGACAGGACAACAGAGGGCCTAGCGCTGTTCTGTGGTATCCTGTCATGTATCGGTCCAAGATAGTGTGTTTATATTGTGTTTTTTGTGTATATAAGAGACTTAACACGGACATATTTGTCTCTCATTCTCCCACCACTTCATGCGCTCCCCACCTCTAAACCCACGTTTCCTGTCATTTCCGTCCACAAATAAAACGCTTGCTGCGCATCTTTTCACTCCTTCAGTCACGGGAGAATTAAACGTTCATATTTTTAGAGTTTTTTCGCGAGGTATTCTTCAAGCTTCTCCGTGTCTGCCGCTAGTTATCCTCGTCTCTCTTTGCAATGGCGGCGCTGTAAACAACAGCGGCGTTCTGACCAATCACAAGCTTGCGTAATCCGTCTCGTTCGACGGATGTTTAAAAAAGTGGGCTCGACTCTGTCCGTACTTGCGTGCCTGCCGGAGCCCTACGCAAGGACGGATAATGGTGTTGCGTGTCTCCGCACTGATGCAGACGGAAAAGCATAAATCAGGCTTAAGACCTTATCTATAGATGCCCATTAGGGTCAAAAAGCCCTGGGGAGTACAATCTTCAGCAAAATAACGAGCACATCAGACTCCCTTTCATCACTGGCAACAAGTGAAGAGGTAAATGTGTAAAACAACAAAATTTAGGAACAGTGAAAGTTTTGTATTCGTTTGTTAGAAGTCCGTAAATGCCTGTTGTCCTCATTGGCTCCTGTAGGAAGAAACATGGCACCTAATATGGCGTCGCCCAGAGACTTAGACCCGCTCCATGTGTTTTACGCCTGATTTTTATGGTTACATGTTATAAAGCTGCCAATATTTTTTAATAACTGGGCATCATTTAATTCATTTTCAACATTTTGATGGATATTTCCAGAAATTAATAATAAAAACTACACATTGTCTCTTTAAAGGTGTTTAGAGATAAAAGCGTCCCTGACTGAAGATAAGATGATGGGTTTTAAAAAGTTTTTCCTCCCGTAAATAACCAGTGTTGTCCCCTTGTGTAGTTAACAGTAAAAGCTATTTATAAATGGTTATTTTGAAGGTTATACTGTCATCCTCTCATAATCTTTGTTGTCAAATTTCACTAATTGACTAAAACTTATTTACAGATACAAACTTATGTCTAAAACATTAACACAGGCTAACAGTCTGTAACACTGCCCTCTGGAGGTCAGCATCAAACACAAACATTTCTGGGAATGGAGCCTCTTCCCTCAAAAACACCTTTTTATATCACACAGCTCATACAAACAGAAATAAGAGAATGCTGCCAACATCTTATCATGCCAATCGCCCTGTCTGAGGAAAAGAAAACAAAATGTGGAAACGGGGAACTTTCAAACACATCAGCCTGTCATGTTCCACACTGCCTGATAATAGATCTAGGAGGGTGTTTTTCGACCAGAAGGACACTGTGTCACACATTGTTAGGAGCTTGTTTAGCTTTAAAAGCACTTCCTTAGCAAAGAGCGTGGGGTTCAGGGTCTAAATATGCTCCTACTGTAAACCACACCAGACTAATGAACACAGGTTCTTGCTTTGGAACCAAACACCTGGGAAAACACCATTAATCACACTTCCAGGTGTTTGGGTGACCTCAGGCACTTGAATAATAGAAAAATATTTTCCCCAACTCTCTCCATCTTTTATTGTCAGTCTGTTTTTGCTGATGCTGAAAATCCATGTTTTTATGCACCAAATCAGAACAATGTAGTGAATAAAAAGGCAAAATGTCACCACCATCTTTTTATTTCTAGATACATTTGATGTTATTACACGCTGGCTCTCAAATACAAGTCCATCCTGATTATTAATTGAACTTGAGATCTGAATGAAGTCCTGCTTTTGTGTTTCCATAAAAGTAGGAAACAGCTGTACTCTTGTTTAAGTTTAGCTGAGGCAAACGTCGGCCTCGTTGAGAACTTCTGCCTTTTGATGGAAATAGTCTCTGAACCAGGAGATGTGCTCCTTCTTCTGCTGCACAGTCAGGTAGGGGTTCCTGGACAGACCGGCCACCACAAGCTCCATGAAGTGTCTCACTGGTCCCTGGCGAGGAAAACCCTCCTCCAAGTGTTTCTCTAAGAAGACATGCTCAGTGAACGAGATGCCGACTTCCTCCTCCAGACCTAAAGGTACGCAGAGAACACACGGTCAGCCAAACTTTTGTCACTTTTTGTTTGCAAAAGCATGTTTTTACTGCTCACCTGACTCATTGTTAATAGGATACTCCCACAGTTTCCCCTCTTTGGTCCACTGGATCATCTCCTCCAAAACGTTGCGAGGCATTTGATTGGTTGAAAAAGACAGCTCATTCACAAACGCAATGTCCCATAGAGTTGGCTTGGCTGAAAATACAAAGTATTCTAAGATATACCTGAATACATTTCCAAATGAGGCCAAATAAGTGCATCACAGCAGGACTCTACGGGTTTTTATTAAGATGCACGTTTAGAAGATTAGAAGCACGTCCTTACTGCTAAGTGCTGATTCAGCGGTGTCTTTATCAGTGACGGGGGAGAAGATGTTGAGTCTTTTTGATGGGAACAATTTCTTCCTAGCAATAAATAAATAAAAGGCACATTTACCACATAATTCACATAACAAAAAGACAAAAGTGATAAAGTCTAGCAGATTCACCTTTTCCGGACACTAGCCAGCTCACTGGCGATTCCTCTATCGTGGGTGTATCCTTGTCCATCCTCATCAAACCGGATCTGATTGGACGGCCAAGAGTTTTGGCGACTGAACTTCTTTCCTACTTTCATGTCAGCAATAATATCTCTGAGAAAACATTGATGGGTTGTGTTTATTACAGTTGAATAAACCATTTATTCTCTAATGGAAGGCAAACGCAACAGGAAAACATATATGAACATTAACAGGAAGCATGTGACGAGTGCAGAAAAAACATACCCGAGGTCGTTGCCTTTCTTCTGAGCCTCGGTGAGGTCTTTGCGCCGTCTCAGCTGCTGGAGCAGCTCAGACTCTGCCTGCCTGCTGTTAGGAAGCGTGGCGGCAGCGGCAGATGCTGCAGCGACCAAATCAGGCTCCAACGTCCCACTAAAACAAAGACAAGTGCTTCAGAAAGTCTCCTGAGTCTACCGTATGTTCCCACAGATTAAACCCATTTTCTACAGAGGCACTAGCAGCAGCGAAAAACACATCACACCTAAAATGAAAAAGACATGAACTTGAACAAAAGGGTCAAGAATTACATGAATTAATTATGTTTACCTCTCTGATGAAGTATCTGCTGCTGTTGCCTTCTGAAACATACTGAAGGTGCTCTCTATAGCTGATGGCTTTGGTGCATAATTTGTAGCCGATTCAGATTTTGTCTTTAAACTTTTGAGTTTTCTTTTATTGGTAACTTCAACTTTCATGGCTCCAAGAAGATCTAGGAGATTCTCCTTCCCACTCTTAGGAGCACTAGTCTTGACCCGTTCGGCTTGTGTGGTTGTTCCATCATCCGCCCTTATCACCCCTCCATCCTCCTCTAGCTCGTTCGTTTTGTCCCGACTGCCTTCTTTTTTTTCTGCTTCATCTTGATGAGCAGAACTGATGTCGTCCTTCTTTTCACAGAGTCTGGATGAACTTGTGCTGACAGCCTTTACTCCAACCCCTTTATAAGCCCTGTTTTAGGTGGAAAACAAAGTTAAACGCTTGAAGGGGTGGGATTATAAATGTCACATTAGAAAACAAAGAAATACAACACAACTAGTGCTACTAAAATTGATTAATACACATTTATGTTAACTTTAATTGTTGCATTCTTCTAAAACTATATAGTACATTAAAAAGATGTGGGAGATGAATCACTTCAAAAATGTCTGGTTTGCTTTTGATGAAGGTTACCATGGAAACGTAGATGAAGTGTCAATCAAAGAGCACCGACGGGTCACCACAAGTGATGGAAGAAAATACAACACTAGTGTGTTTCTGTGCTTTTACAAAAGCTAAGATTCTGAATTACATCTGACACACCAACACATTTTTAACAAGTTTTATTTAACCAATGAAGCTTACAGGCTTACATAAGAGTCAATATTTACAGTTGAATTCTGAGCATGACAAAAAAAAAGCAGGTGTACAAACAGAAACAATAATATTAACCTAGCTCAATATCAACCTGCAGAAATCATAACAATATATATCGATAAAGATATATATTGCGTTAACCACAAGTGAAAACTATCCCAGAAATTTTTGGTAAAGATGCATGTGAAAAATAAATGTATCTCAGTTTCTATATTAGAAGTGCAAAAGGCACAATCGTTCTCTCCAATATTAAATTTAGACTGCAAGGACACACCAGCACATCACAGCTACTTCCGATGCTCCAACATACTTCCGATGCTGCTATTCCTCTCGGCTCACACCGAACACTCACCGTGAAACCTTCTCGCGTTTAGGAAGACACGACTCGTAAACGCAGGATGAGGGGTTTCGTGCCAAACACACAGTCCGGGATACAAATCGGTACATAATTGTGTTTAGTAATGTCCTTCCACGTTTCCGAGTCCCCTTCGTTTCTACAGCATAAAGCCTCCCCTTGAAACGTAAGACCAACATTCGTTCCGGTGTCGTGCCGAAAGACGCTCCCGCTCATTGATTTGAATGCTGAATTTTCAAGTAAAAAATGAACCCTTGTGTTTATTTTTGGTATATACATCTGTTTTCACAATATGCTTTTTTATTTGAAGATAAACAGCAATTATAGGTACTTAAATACTTTTCCATATCATTAATCCGTCATTAAACACCGCGGTAAACATAAATACCACATTCAATTATTTGTAGTTTGTTAAGGTTGTTGAAAAACACAGGAAATTTAGGTCCGTCTGTTGACTGGATGGCATCCTACAGACTGTGTGCTTCTCGTGGCAGGGGTGCATTTACGAGCACAACACCTGTCAGAATTGTGCCAAAAATAGCTGATCCTCGCAGTAAAGTGGCTTTGTTCGTTATGATACTGTGAATAAAACAATATTACATGTGAATACTCAAAAATAAATATTCAAATGTGTTTGTGTCTCTGGGCTGGATATGAACAATCGATTTGGACATAAAAGAAATTGCCAGCTGCTTCAGCTGTCAACGTAGTCTCGCGCGATTTCATAGTCTGAACGTGACTCAAAATGGCGACAGAATACTAGCGCTAATTCATAAACGGATGTTTCAGCAGCAGTCCGTGCTCAACTTAGCTCTAAACATTTAAAGATGGATTTTAACAATGAAAAACTAGCTCTACGAAAGTATTCTTGTTATAAACATTGATATTTTATGTTCGTTTAAACTCTCGCGTTAACCGAGAAAGACGTAAACGACTTCATAAAGGTAAAAAAAATGACCGTCAACGGCAGCTACATTATTAGCATAGAAGCTAACAAGCATCAAATTTACCGCAACTACTTGTCGTTATTAAAGACAATGCAGCACCCAAAGCCTACAGATTTAGACAACTTTGTGACGTGGTGAAGCTGAAGCGTTTGGCAGAGTGTAGGTTTATTCTTGGTGATGCTTCTGCTTGTTCTGTCAGACTGCTTACCCGCTCCTCGGAGCTCCGTCTGTTTACATGCATTAAGTGTTTATTTGAAAAACTTGAGTTCACATTTTCTGCAATTTTTCTTTTACATTGTGGAAGCAATGGTATCAAGACGTGTTAAGTTTAGTCGTGTTGTGATAACGTGTGTTTGATGTTTAAACATTTTAAGTTGATATAATTTATCCAGTAGAGATGAACGTCCTTCTGTTATTTTATTTGAGCTGTTGCTCTAAAATAGGGTTATGTTTTTGTTTATGTGAATAAGATTTTCTAAGCTTTGTTTTTATGTGGAATACTATAATTAACAGCAGTGTTTAACGTCTGATCTGAGCTGTCAGTATAAAAAAAGCTCCAAAGACACAAATATTGCTTTAGAGTCCAGTTTTTTGTAAGTGTTGTTGTTTTGTGCTTTTGTTAACATCTACCCACTTTCTAGTATTAATAAATTACTAATTTTAACAATCAATATTGGTACAAAAGTTCAAACGGTACATATGTACTACTATGTTGTCACAAGCATTGTTCTTTTTCTTGGTTATATGTCCTAAGGGAAAGTAGGAGTTGGACTTGCAGGGAGATTTTTTTTAATCCGACTCCGTCTAACTTTTGTCTGCCACTACTAGATAAGCTCTTAAAGCAATTTTTACCCTTGAATGTCTTTGATTCACAGTGAAATGCTTGTTGTGAACTGTTTAAGATGTTCTTGGGTCGATCCATTTAAGTTTCACTGTAGTGTTCTTTTATTTCAGACACATTACATTTTGTAGGCAGATTTGTTTTTGTGTCATTATTAAAACAATTATCAATGAGATTTTGTTAGATGTGGTCTTAAAATAAATGCATCAGTAGTAATGAACTGAAAACAGCTTAAGAATTCTCTTTCTAAGGTAATATGCATTACATTGTTGGTCCAGCACTGTAGTCTTTGTCGGAATTAACTCAGAACACTGTGATTGGGACTCATCAAATGTCTTCATTAATAAACATTATGTTGTCGAATTGCCAAATGATTAAGTAAAGAAACTCAGCGTCGTACTGTCTCGTTTTGTTATTTCAGCCATGGCGGAGGAACGCAGGCAAAAGCAGTGTTCAGTCGTTCTGCCAACAGAGTCGATGAAGGCCATGGCGGAGTCTGTGGGAGTCGGGCAGTTACAGGAAGACAGTTGTGTAGCTCTTAGTGAAGAGGTCAGCTACAGAATAAAGGAAATTGCACAGGTAAATTAATGGTTATTAATGTAGGTGTTATAATTTGTATGATGTGTGAATTATTTAGTGCTTTTTTGATATTTTTCTCTTTACACAGGATGCTCTGAAATTCATGCATCATGGGAAGAGACGAAAACTAACCACGAGTGACATCGACAATGCTCTCAAACTAAAAAATGTAGAGGTAATAAAGAGCGCTTATTATACCCGAAGGATGAATTGGGTGTGAATTTTCTGTTTTAAGAAATTTGTTTCTTTTTCAGCCCCTGTATGGGTTCCAGTCACAGGAGTTTATTCCTTTTCGCTTTGCAAGTGGAGGTGGAAGAGAGCTTCATTTCTATGAGGAAAAGGAGGTTGATCTCAGCGATATTATAAACACACCTCTCCCAAGAGTTCCTCTAGATGTGTCTCTCAAAGGTACTCGGATTAGGAGGATTATATGCTGTTTTGTGATATTAAATTAGCTCATTTATCAAATACATTTTATAATTTAATCTACAGCTCACTGGTTAAGTATTGAAGGGGTGCAACCTTCAATTCCTGAAAATCCTCCACCAGGTGAGCCCTACTTAGGTTTGATCTGTTATCATGGGAGAGGTTATAAATGTTAAAAACACTCAAGACTTTTTTTCCTACTTGTTAGCATCAAAAGAGCAACAAAAAACCGAATCCACGGAGCCGCTGAAAGTTGTCAAACCCGGTCAGGAGGAGAAAGGTACGATTCAAGGCAAAGGCCAGAGCACCACAACCCCAGATGGCAAAGGTCAGTGTTTATTTCAGTTTGCTAATAGAAGCTAGACACTTCTGTATCATGATGTGTGTTAACTTCACTCATGTCTTCGTGTCCCTCTGGTACAGGAAAGGAGAAGGGTCTCATCAGGCTGAAGCCACGCAGCACTCACGAGCTCTCTGTAGAGCAGCAGCTCTACTACAAGGAAATCACAGAGGCGTGTGTGGGCTCCTGTGAAGCCAAGAGAGCAGTACGTCTTACCTGACTTTCTGATGCATGTTGGCCAAATGTTCATAATTCAGTCCTGTAGCATAAAGGGATAATATGCAACTTTTTATAGTTTTGAATAATTTTTTGAGCCAGTTTGTGCCAAAACGATCCTTTACAGGGTTAATGAAATGTCACTCAGACCCCCACCGCCCTCTGTAGCCAGAATACCACATTTGCAAATTCGGAGTGCCGGTCTGGTCTTTGAACACAGTTGGACTGACATACTTGGTGCTGCAATCTGCTTCCTGCGCAATTCCTGCATGTTTCAGATCATGAACACTGTTTATTTGTTTAAGTTAGTGATGAATCACCCCTGTAGACACTAATGAAGGCTGAGGAGACGTTTCTGCTGTTAGATTAGGTGTTAAAAAGACGAACGCACAGCCAGGAGATAAGATTTGCTTTTGGTTCTACTAAACGGACACAAGGTGGTGCTAGCCAAAACTGCCTAGTGTCCATTTAAAGTGGAAAGTCGGAGAGCAGAATCATCATTTTAGAAAATGTGTGTGAGCTTGCTGATCTGGTTTTTCTATTTGATTCATACAGGAAGCTCTACAGAGTATTGCAACGGACCCTGGTCTGTATCAGATGCTTCCAAGATTCAGCACATTTATTTCTGAAGGAGTAAGAATCTTTCTAACCTAACGTAAACATTGTTGATGTCACATCAAACATAAGTCAGCTGATTTTACGCTCTCCTCGAAGGTCCGTGTAAACGTGGTGCAGAACAACTTGGCCCTGCTGATTTATCTCATGCGGATGGTCAAAGCTCTGATGGACAATCCCACCCTGTATTTGGAAAAATATGTGAGTAAATGAAAAACCAGAAGTCCACGCCATTTTTAAACTAAAGATTATTTTAACAAAGCTGTTTTTCTTTGTAGCTGCATGAGCTGATCCCAGCTGTGGTCACCTGTATTGTGAGTAAACAGCTGTGTTTACGACCAGATGTTGATAACCACTGGGCTTTACGGGACTTTGCTGCTCGCCTGATGGCTCAGAGCTGTAAAACCTTCAGCACCACAACCAACAACATCCAGTCACGTGTTACCAAGACTCTGACCAAGGTAGGTGTTTGGTAGGAAAGTGGTCGTAAGACATTTTTGAAGTGAAAAGAGATAAGAGAGAAAAGTTCTGTGGCTAGAATTTATGTTTTTGACTAGAAAATGTTTGAACAACAAAAAATCTAATCAAAGTTCCACTTATAACTTACCTGGAATTAATATTTCATTAATAAAGTGTTTGTTCTTCACCAATCGAGCCAGTAAACCAAACCCATGTAAATAAACAGGTCTACCCTAAAGGCAAACGTTTACCATGATGATCATAACACTAATGTGTAGAACGTTCTGCAGCACATCTGCAGTGATGACCCAAATGACCTATTATTTAACAACTCTTAATACTAGCTCTAGTGACACAAACTCATTTTAAATCAGTGTTTTTTTTGGGGGGGACATTTTCAGAGTTTGTTCGATGATAAGACCCAGTGGACGACACGATACGGCTGCATTGCTGGACTTGCTGAACTCGGAGCTGATGTAAGTTTTTTTTGTTTTGTTTTTTTTTTAGTTTTTTTTTAGATTTTAACTTAATTTTTTGCTAATCAATGAACAGGTTTCTATTATTTTAACTGCATTTAGAATATGTGAATAGAAACAATTCTTAAAAAAAAAACTCGGTGGTGGGGTGCTCCCATTTGAGTTGTTTTCCTTTTGACAGTAGGGGTGGACGGATATCTCGGCTGATATTTACCACTTTTTAGATATCAGCATCGGCCGATGCGACTCCTTAGTAAAGCCAATTTAAAGTCGGGCATGTCCTCGGGCAGCCTGGTGCTGCTGCAGAATTAAATTTGTGGATATTTACATTCCTGAATAACATCTGCTTAATAAATGCTCAAAAAACTATTTTCAACTAAAATGTCTTAAATTTGACCAGTTTTGCCAGTTTACTAATTTGTTTGAGTAACTTTAGTTAAATGTCTGATTCCAACACTGAGCCGTGCATAAAATTAAGATTTAACAGTTGGTTAAACTCGGTGTTCAAAAACTGATTCGGTTTCAAACGTTTTGTAAATCAACTGATGTTATTGGTGGCATTTTAGCATGAACATGAGGTAGAAAACGTTTAAATATCGACCACGAAAAACAGCCCAGAATACCGGCAGCACTAATCGGCCATCACCTTTACCTGTCGGCAATAGAAAAACCAATATTGGTCGCCTCTATTTGGAAGAATTATAAGTTTTCACAGTGAGGTAATGGAAAAGTGCCATCGTCTGAAATGAAGGTGGTAGAGTTTGTTACAAGAGAAAAAACATCTAATTTACGACTTCTGTGTCTCAGAATTGTTACATCATCGTTTCCTGTTTTTGACCTTTTCAGGTGATAAAGACGCTGATCCTTCCTCGACTCACCGTAGAGGGAGCTCGCATCAAAGCAGTGATGGAGGGACCTGTGGTCTCCAACATTGACAAGATAGGAGCTGAACATGTTCAAACCCTCTTACTGGTAATAAATGTCGTTAGATGTGAATAAGACTCGTTTGTAAACTAAAACACTGAGAGACTAACAACTAGTGCTTTAAAGGTTGCAATAAGCTGTTTATTCTCTTTTTAAAGAAACACTGTGCGAGTGTTATTGCCAAGATACGACCTCAGCCGGACAACGTGGAGCAGTATCGGGCAGAATATGGCTACCTTGGGCCCATGTTGTGCTCTCATGTAGTAAAGGCCAGAACTCAAGCAACACTGCAAGCCCAGCAGGTCAACAGGACCACGTTAACAATCACACAGGTACGCTGCAGAGTTACTTAAGTGTTCTAGTCTGCCGCTGATCTGAGTCGAGCTGTGTTTTGTTATTAGAGTTCTGTGCTCGTCATGGATTGTCCATAATGAACACCGTGTTCAGACATAAATGTCCATATGGGCTCTTGGCACCAGGATACCTTAGGCCACAGCTCCATGATTGACTTTGTTGTCATCTCATCTGATGACACTCGGGTGAAGAGAGAGGCGTAGCTGTCAGCTGACCACTACCTGGTGACGAGGTGGCTTCGATGGTGGGGGAGGATGCCGGTCAGACCTGGCAGACCCAAACGTATTGTGAGGGTCTGCTGGGAATGTATGGCAGTCTCCTGTCAGAAGAAGTTTCTAACTTCCAAAAAGAAAGCAGTGCCCTACCAACTCTGTTTATAGTGGGGTCAGTGTGCTGCTGACTTCGACTCAGGACGTTGTGGATCGGTAAGCAGAGTACTTTGAAGTTCTCCTCAATTCCACCAGCACGGCTTCCAGTGATGGACTTTGAGTTGGGCTCTCAAATCTCTGGTGCTGAGGTCACTGAGGTGGTGAAAAAGCTCCTCTGTGACAAGGCTCCAGGGATGGACAGGATCCACCCAGAGATCCTTAAGGCTCTGGATGTTGTAGGGCTGTGTTGGCTGACGTGGCTCTGCAATATCGCATGGACATCGAGAGCAGTTCCACTGGATTGGCAGACCGGGGTGGTGGTCCCACTATTTAAAAGGGGGACAGCAGGATGTGTTCAAACTACAGGGGGATCATACTTCTGAGCCTCCCTGGTAAGATCTATTCAGGGGTTCTGGTGAGGAGGGTCAGGTGGATTGTCAAACCTCGGATTCAGGAAGAGCATTGTGGTTTCATCCTGGCTATGGAACACTGGACCAGTTGGAGGGTAGGTGGGAGTTTGCTCAACCAGTCTACATGTGTTTTGTAGATTTGGAGAAAGTGTTCAACCGCGTCCCTCGGGGGCCCTGTGGGGGGGTACTCTGGGGTACCAGGCCCTCTGATACGGGCTGTTAGGTCCTGTATGACCGGTGTCAGAGCTTGGTCCACATTGCCGGCAGTAAGTCGGGCTCGTTCCCAGTGAGAGTTGGACTCCGCCAAGGCTGCCCTTTGTCACAGATTCTGTTGAATACCTTTATGGACAGGATTTCTAGGCGCAGCCAAGGTGTGGAGGGCATCCGTTTTGGTGGTCTGAGGATCAGGTCTCTGCTTTTTGCAGATGATGTGGTCCTGTTGGCTTCATCAGAACGTGATCTTCAGCTTTCGCTGGAACAGTTCGTAGCCGAGTGTGAAGCAGCTGGGATGAGAATCAGTTCCTCTAAATCTGAGACCATGGTCTTTATTCGGAAAAGGGTAGAATGTCTTCTCCGGGTCAGGGATGAGGTCCTGCCCCAAGTGGAGGAGTTTAAGTATCTCGGGGTCTTGTTCACGAGTGAGGGAAAACTGGAGCGTGAGATCGATAGGCGGATTGGTGCTGCATCTGCAGTGATGTGGGCGTTGTACCGGTCTGTCGTGGTGAAGAGAGAGCTGGGTCAGAAGGCGAAGCTCTTGATTTACCCGTAGATCTACGTTCCTACCCTCACCTATGGTCATGAGCTTTGGGTAGTGACAGAAAAAACGAGATCGCAGAAACAAGCAGCTGAAATAAGTTTTCTCCACATGATGTCTGGGCTCTTCCTTAGCGATAGGGTGAGAAGCTCGGTCATCCGGGAGGGACTCGGAGTAGATCAGCTGCTCCTCCACATTGAGAGGAGCCAGTTGAGATGGCTTGGGCTGCTGGTTGATGCCCCCTGGATGCCTTCCTGGTGAGGTTTTCCAGGCACGTCCAACTGGGAGGAGACCTAAAGGAAAGGACACCGGATAAGAGGTCGAAAATGGATGGATGGCATTTGTGTTCCAATTAAATTAAATGAAGCTGATGTAATTTTGAAATGCTTCACAAAAGTGTGTGTCTTTGTGTGTGTAATAACAAACAATGCTATTTTCTTGCAGCCTCGCCCAACCCTTTCAGTCTCACAAAGTGGGTTAACTGGGTCGGGGGGGCCTCGCACTCCCAGCATCATCAAGGTTCCAAGTTCCCTCACTCTAATGTCACCCAGACCAGGTACTCCATCACAGCCGTCTCCCCCAGCAACAAAGTACATCGTCATGGGAACCAGTGCAGGAGCTGCCTCGACTCAACAGGTAAGGGTCATTTAGTGTTGAGGATCAACATCACATCTCATGGATTTTTTTTATTCCTTTTGCTATAAAATCTCCCCCCTCCTTTACAATAAACCCATATATTATGTTTCTGTCTCCTGTGTAGGTCATTACTCTCAGCTCTTCCCAGTCAGCTTCACCAGTAACCAGCACCGTTCCCAGTGCGACCTCAACATTGCAGCCCTTAGTAAAACTGGAGTCTGGTGGTACTCCTGGACTCACAGCATCTCGCCCTCTTCAGAAGTACATTGTTGTGTCTCTGCCCTCATCTGCCTCCTCCTCTTTGGAGCCTAAGAGCTCCGTGTTACCGACCTCAATTTCCTCAGCTTCTCTGGACGGAGGGATAAAGTTGGAGCGATCCGAGTCTCCCGGAGTCAGCACTCAGTCGCCACACTGACATTTGTATAAGTAGTCTGGATTGTTATCCTGTTGGAGCAACACAAGGCTGAGTTTAATCTAAAGGGGGTAACCTCTGGAGAGGCATGAAAAGAATTTTCTGAACTCTTGATTGATGAAGAGCAAATGTGGCCAGATTTTGTAAATAACTTAATGCCAAGTGAAAGCTGATCATCCTGAAATCTTCAGTGTTTCACCTCATATTCTAACTGATTCGTGTTTTTTACCCTAAAATAAATCTCCATTTTGTATGAAACGTATTTTGTGAGTGTGTGAGACACCATTGACTGGGTAAGGTTAGTACCTTCATCTCAAACCAGTCCGTTTTGTGTCTACTGCCCTCTGGTGGCGGATCTACCGAACATCAGAGATGGTTGTATTTCTTTACTATATAAATCTTTATCTCATACAGACGAGGGGCAATTACAAACAAAACATACATAAAAAACAAAGTTTCTTGTCTTTACACTTAACTATGTATTTTCAGTATTTGTACTTTTTGTGGGGCTACATTTTACTTTTACTCCACTACACTTTCTAGAATGTGAATAAAGTAAAAGTATTTTAACTTACCCCCCCCCCCCCTTATAATGCATAATATTATATATAATTTATATATATATATATATATATATATATATATTTATATATATATGTATATTTGAAGACACTTTATTTGAGTCAAAAACTGCATGGATACTTCTATTTTTACTCAAGTAATTTTTTTACTGGTTTAGCAGGCTTTTTTGAAAGTGGGGGGGGGACAGCTGCCAATCACAAATTTTGCCGGGGACATGTCCCCGGCGTCCCCGGTTAAAATGACGCCTGTGTCTACAGGTGCTTTCTGAGCTGAAGAGGCTATTCTGCCTCAGACTGGTTGCGTCATGCGTGTCCATATTAGAGACGGGAACAAGCGCTGTTCTGCCAAAGTTTCATAATTTCATAAAAAGAACATTTTTCCAAGTGACACATCCCTCAGAGAGACCGGGTTTCCAGACCGCTTCAGTGGGAGGAAATCTTATTGTATGCACCGTGGTTCTGCGCTGCGCTGCGAACCCCTCAGATCTTCAGCTCACTGTCCACCGTGGGCGCTCCGAGCCGTGCTGAACACATGTCCAGTATAAAGCTCTGATGTTCTGATGGGAATCAAGTTACCTCTGCGATGTGCGTATTAAATGTCAGCTCATCCATGCGCATCAGTGTGCGTCGGGGTAATTCTTTCAAAACAACCAACATCCTTGAGTTTATCCATCAAAATACAGTCAAATGTAAATATCTGTAACCTGCCATTTAACTGTTTTGCCTTCTTGTGAAGATTGTTGCAAAGAGAAAAAACTAAACTTGATTAACCCCAGAGCCATGCGCACTGCGCTGTACGTCGTGACTGTAAATGAGGGGAAACGATTTAATCGGATCCTTTTCTTTTCAACATGGTTTAATGTAAAGTTTCATTCAGTACAAACTTTAGTTACACCAATCTAACGAGACAGAGCCTGGATTTGTATTCTGAACAGTTTAAACATGTTTAAAACGGAGACATGCGTGACGCGTCTAAAATTCGCACCTGCTCCGCTATTATGGAAATTAAACTAACAAGATGAATAACATGAAATTATTTTAGGCACATACAACATCCCCCACACTTTTGAAAATCTTGCAACGCGCCTGGTCGCTCGTGTACGTCAAAGTTATCTTTCATAAGAAGATAATCAATAAAACGATTTATATAAAGATGATCCAGAAGTTGTAGCCCGTCTCTGCCTACAATATTTTGATATTTTTCACCCTGTTGGTGGTTTAACTGAGCAGGTGCCACTTTTGTCATACGTTTCTTTTAAAAACATGTTTAGACTGTTCAGAATACAAATCCAGGCTCTCAGAACCAGAGCGCATGTGAGAAGGTTCCTCCCACTGAAGCGAGTGTTTTCCAAACCCTGTCTCTCAGAGACTTGTCACTTAGAAAATGTTCCCTGATTATGAAACTTTGGCTGAATAGTGCTTGTTCCTGTCTCCAATTTGGCGACACATCCAGGAGCTGAGGAGAATCCCAGAATCTGACATCCTCCAGCTCCGGAAACGCCTATGATTATATATATATATATATATATATATATATACATATATATATATATATATATATATATATATATATGTATATATATATATATATATATATATATACATTTATATATATGTAAATTATTTTACAGGATATTCAACTTGTTTGCCGCTGAAAACGCCTGTTTCTAGTTTCCTGTGACCTTTGGGATTTTGTCCGTTCACAGATTGGAGTGCTGTTACTGTTCCATTGCACATCCAGATGTTTTATTAAAATTTTTATTTACATCACACCTTAATTTAAGTGCATGCTGTATTTATGCACCCTGCTGAATAAACTTTTAAAAGTCCTTGTAACTTTTTTCTGTAACCACACTTTTTCTACAGATTTGTTCACTTTGACAAACAAATAGGATGATGCAGAAAAAATTCTCCGTTATGATAACAAATCATGACAACAGTGTGCTAAAATGTTACTGTTTTTAAAATAAAGCTGGAGTCATCTCAGTGCAAAAGTGTTACAAGCTTTAAAGTGCAGCATTTTGTGCTCAGTCATCCATCATTTACACCCAATTACAATGTTGCCAGCAGTTAATGGGATGTTCTTGTAATATAATATAAGTAAGTCTATCTTTAGCAGTTAATTTTACTTACCTTTATTCAGCAGCTGCAGCGCTGCGGTAGGAAGCAGAGCACAGTGTGAGTCTAACTTTCACCATGAATGGGTCTGAAATTGAGAGTTTTCTGTGGGTTGATGCACCGCAGTGCAACAACAGAACCATTTAGTGCTGCACTGCCTCTGCTCTTCAGCGGTGCAGTCTCTCTGGACAGCTCACCTCCATTACTGCCCTCCTGTCGCCACAGCAACAGGCCTGGTCACATCCTCAGCAGTGCTTTTGTTTAGGTATTTGTGTGTGTGTGTGTGTGTGTGTGTGTGTGTGTGTGTGTGTGTGTGTGTGTGTGTGTCTTGACTGGACTTTGATGAATGAGTAGTTTTCATTCTATTCTATTCTATTCTATTCTATTCTATAACTTTATAACTTTTTCTGGTTGAATGGAGGAAGTTAATTGATCAAACTTCCATCCATCCAATTTCATCCGCGTATCCGGAGTCGGGTCACGGGGGCAGTAGCCTAAGGCGAGAGGCCCAGACTTCCATCTCCACAGCCACTTGGGCCAGCTCCTCCGGGGGAATCCCAAGGCGTTCCCTGGCCAGGTGAGAGACATAGTCCCTCCACCGTGTCCTGGGTCTACCTTTAGGTCTCCTCCCAGTTGGACGTGCTCGGAAAACCTCACCAGGGAGGCGCCCAGGAGGCATCCTGATCAGATGTCCGAGCCACCTCAACTGGCTCCTCTCGATGTGGAGGAGCAGCGGGTCTACTCCAAGCCCCTCCCAAATGACCGAGCTTCTCACCCTATCTCTAAGGGAGAGCCCAGCCACTCTTTGGAGAAAACTCATTTCGGCCGCTTGTGTCCACGATCTCGTTCTTTCAGTCACTACCCATGACCATAGGTGAGGGTAGGAACGTAGATCGACCGGTAAATCGAGAGCTTCGCCTTCTGACTCAGCTCTCTCTTCACCACGACAGACCGTTACAACGACCACATCACTGCAGATGCAGCACTATTCCGCCTATCGATCTCATGCTCCAGTTTTCCCTCACTCGTGAACAAGACCACGAGATACTTAAACTCCTCCACTTGGGACAGGATCTCATCCCTGACCCGGAGAAGACATTCTACCCTTTTCCGAATAAGGACCATGGTCTCAGATTTAGAGGAACTGATTCTCATCCCAGCTGCTTCACACTCGGCTACTAACTGTTCCAGCTAAAGCTGAAGATCACATTCTGATGAAGCCAACAGGACCACATCATCTGCATAAAGCAGATCAAACTTGATTCAATTAAAAAATTTAAGACAGCGAGCCTTTATTTTGAAGAACTTCTTACCACATCCGCTTCCTGTGATCTTTAGTCATTTCCCGCTAGGCCGAATTTAACATAGATATCATATATTAACTGTCCTAACGGAGTTAGTTCTCCTGCTGCAGACATGAATTTCAGAGTACGAGCTGCAACAAAAGAAGACTGCAAAGATGTTTCCAGGATGATCATGGTGAGTTGGCATTTGCGCTACAGCGGCTATTTTAGGTGCACACATGATACAGTAGCCTATTGCTACAGTGAGCAGATAAATATGTTTCTAAATTATTTACTTAAAGGTTGCGTGTTTTAAGCCATACTATTATTACATTAATTCACAGGAGCTCGCGGTTTATGAAAAAATGCCCGACCAAGTGAAGATTTCACATGAAGGTAATTCAGCTAAGCAGGGGTAAGGTGTGAAAGCAAGAATCTGATTCAATATATATAATTTTACATAGTGGAAAATTTCTAACTTTTTTCAAATGTTTCATCATTGTCCCAGTAGATGTCACTGTTCTGGGCAGTGGCGTCCAGCCCTGACCAGACCTAGAGCGGTGGTGCCCAATCCTGGTCCCAGAGGGCCGGTGTTGTGTCAGAACAGCATACCTGTCAGAGGAGCATACTTGCAGATAATGCGCATGTGCGCGCATGCGCATTACTCGACAACTCCGGTACGTTCTACAGAGGCGTCAGATGAGCATACGGACTAGAAAAGATCGGCGAAAAAGTGAAACTACGACTAAAATGTAAGTAATTCATTTATATTCTTTAATGTTAACACATTATTTGATATATTTTGTACTTTAGTCACAGTTTTCAGTGTGCAGTGCATTTTTTTGACTGCCAATTTCTGCACGTAATTTAATCGCTGATGAAACAACTAAACTTTGATGCCTGAACGTCATGTAACGGCTATGAAACATATAAATAGTAACAAGAAGTAAAAAAAAAACAATACAAGACCAACAATTATACAGTCCGTGAGGAAATTAAAGTCAGCATTTTAAAGACGAAAGGGGCTATTTTAATAGATTCATATAATATGAACATGTTTCTAATTCCGTGTTCCTCCTGAAAAAGTTTTGTTTTTGACTAGAAATATGATTAAATAACATGTCTGACTACTATGTTAGTGAGTTTTTTATACTTTATTTCTGCTTGCTTAAACTATTTTGCTACTTGTTTAAAAACGCAGGAATGTGATTCAAAACTACAAACCAGGAAGCATAAAAATATCTAGATATAAACCAACACATAAAAAGATTTGTCTCTGT